AAGCGGGAGGGAGGAGGAGACCTTCCCCTCAGAGATGAGCTGTAAGCTGTGTGCTCCTCCCTGCCCGTGCAGATCTGAGCGTGCTGGCAAGGGGCCCTGAGAGGAGACATTGGACTGGCGCTTGCATACTGTCCATCCCTGCTGCATGCTTGAATGCAACATATGAAGTGAGTATTGTGCCCAGCGTGGAAGCAAGCTATTAACAACTCCTTTCTCTTTGCCTTTAGCCCTGACGAGGAATCTTCGCAGAAGTTCATTCCCTTCGTTGGGGTGAGTGTATTTTAGTTAATGTCTCATGCCACAGGGTTAGAACACTTCCCTGGTCCCTGGGGTACAGCAGGAGCACTGCGTGCTCTAAGACGGAGGGTTAGCATGAGCATCTGATGGTGGGATGCAACCGCCTCGTGTGTAAGCATGCCTCTAAGACCTCTCAGAACATTGCTGGTGCTTCAGTTCCCAAGCAGCCAGTTCCAGGCTTGCATGCCCGCCAGCACATAGCAAGCACCATAGCCTAGCTGTTACATACTTCAGTACAGAGAAGAAAGCGTGCTGCCAAAATGCTCTGCCCTGTGGCCTGTCTTTGTTTCGGACCAAAGCACCTGTTTGGCACAGAGTTACTGCTGGGCCATGTCAGGGGAGCGGGGTGTGTTCCTGGAAACCTAATCTCAGTTTCCTATGCTGAGTATTACCCTGCATGATCAGTGTGGCCAAATGTAGTATTCCATTATCAGTTCTATGTATGCTTATCATGAATGGTCTCTAGCCCTCTAAATACTCCATCTACTCCTGGGAAAAGGAGAGTACATCCCACTGGGCAGATCACATATCCCACTGTTAGGTTTGCCTAAGGCAGTAGCTGTTTAATGTAGTTTATCATATGAATATGTAGTTGGGATGGTAGTCCCTTAGTTGTCCTTCTTGCCTTTACCTTTGAAGTGCACTCTTTCTGGGCAGGGTGTGTTTGTGCTCCTGCTGGTGTGTTTTGTGCACCATGTGCTTTGCCTTCAATAGATTCCCTCCCCTTCTCTGATGCTCTTCAATTCCTTAAGTTTTAGGTATTGAGTCATTGTCCTGTGGCCCAAAGGGTAACCCTTGACTGTTCTTCAGCTACCATGTTCTCTTCCACAGCTCTTGCCTCTGCCCTGTAGCTCATTTTTCTTGCTTGCTGGTTGCCTTGTTCTACCTACTCTGTGTTAAGCTGACTGCTGTGTGTTCCTGTTTGTATCCCCATCAATGCGTCAGAGCTAATCTGAAATCCCAAGGAGTTTAAAGAGTTGATCCACTCCTGCACTCAGGCTGACCTTGCTTTCACTCTGTCTCATTGCAGTGCAGATCTCTCCGCAGTGCTCCTGTGATGGTGACAATAGACTTTTACTTGTAGAGGGAAAGATACCTTTTGCTAAAGTAGAGGCACATCTTCTCAATTTGCTTCCTGCTGATGAGTTTTGCTGTGGTACTGTGTGTGTCCTGTGGTTGCTGGGCAAGAACTGCTGTCATGAAACAGCTGTTTCCCTGCCCCACTAACAGGAAAGGCTCAGAAGTGCTGGAAGGCTCCTGGGCCCGTCTTACTGAGCAGTTAGGCTGTGCAGAGCTTTTCATAGGGATTGATTTAGTTCAACACTGCCATATGCAAGCAAATGGGATCCAGAGGGTTTGTCTGGTTGCTCCTTAAATGAATATTATCCTTACATTAGCAACACTTTTCCAGTTTCGATTTGACGGTGTAGAAAAGAAAGAGAGAAGTGTCTGTGTGTAATGCTGCCAATTTCCCCCAAATTTGCCTTGAAAATACCGCTTGACTTTCCACATTGACTGGTGGAGAGGGTCAGGTCAGTGCTGCTTATTTCTGCCTCTGATGTACTCCTGACATTGGGGCTGTTGGCCAAAAAGGGAGGGAGCTGGAAATGTTGGTGTCTGGGACTCCTAATGTTGCTTGGACTCTGGCTTCTGGACTGCAAAAGCTGAAGACCTGCAGCTGTTTTGGCTGTGCTGCATAGCTGGGCTCTGAGAGGTGAGAGGAGAGCCTTGTGAAGGGCTGACTGCACGCACAGGCCGTGGTTGTGACACTGCATTTCCTGCACTGTGCCAACAGCCAGGTGCTGGGAGAGTTAACAGGACGCACATCCTTCCTGCAGGGAAAGGAGGCTGGCTGCATCATTGCTGGATGGAGGCTTTGGTGGAAGGGCAGGAGTCCCACGCCCCTTCCTGAATGAAGGGAAGGCATTTAGCCTCGTCTTCCTCCCATGTGTCTGACCTCGAGCAGCATCAGTCGGCCAACAGAAAGGAAAAGGCCAAAAGAGATTTCCTTTCTGGCTTGCAGATCAAGGTGGTTGCAGGCAGTTTTCTGTATTCCTTGTTCTTTCCCTAACTCTAATGCCTCGTCTCCTCTCATTCCCAGTTCCTCAGAGTCTGTGAAACATCCTCTTGGCATTTAACGCATGCAGCACAAGTGGCTGTTGACTCCAGAGCTTGATTTGTTTCTCTTCAAACAAAGGTTGGCCAGATTGAGCTGCAGGGCCCACTGAGAGTCCTACTTCCATCTCCCAAGCCACTCTGCTGTGCACACTGCTGCATTCCAAGTGACTTTTCCGAGGCTGGGGTTAACAATCTACCAAAGAGCCTCCAAGCTCTCTAAGTCTGGTGCTGAGTGTACAGCCAGCTCCCACCACTTCAAGAGCTGTGCAAAGTGTTTTGCTTCAATGATTAAGTCCTGTTTGTTGTCTCTGTAGCAAAGAAATCTGCTCCCTGAAGATGTGCTCTACACAAACTTAATCATGTTCTGTTTTCAGGCAAAATAGGCTGAGTGACATTTTCTCACTCTAAAATGTTCTACTGACTTGAGGATACTCAGTGTACTGACTGGTGGTTGTTTGTATCAGTGTGCATTTGTGGCCACATTACAGTGTGATTGGAATTGTTCTGAGCTGTACATGTGATGGTTTATCTGTGCATACAGGCTTTGCTAGGAGCTTTATTTTATTTGCCACATACCTCTCATGTTCGGAGATTAGAAAACTCCGATCGGAATCTGTACTTTGCTGCTTTTGTGGTTTCCTAACACAACCCAGTTCTGGTGCTGCCTGGAAGCAGCTGCACTTGTGTGGTGGAAGCAATCCCAGCGTCAGAGCAGTGCTAAAAAGATACTTGTATTCCTTTGTCCTCTCTGCCCTATTCCCACAGGAGGCATGGGCAGGCCTTATAGTCTTATAGGCTAGTGGGAGCTGTGCAAGTCTGTAACAGCTCTGTAGGGTTGGTGCTTTCTTTTGGGTAAAGTAGGAGAAGGGATATGAGCTGGTTCTACTCATCTGGATGTGGATAGGACCTGCTGGGCCTTGCAAAACTCCACTTTTACCATGCTTTTACAGTGCTTTGACTGTAGGGACAGTGCCACAGGTAGCTTTAGGGTTGGACTGACTTTGGGAGGTGAAGAGTTCCCAAAATTCATAGGACTCCTGTTTCAGAGTTGTCCTGTTTGCTCTTTCCTTTCTAGGTGGTGAAAGTTGGAATAGTGGAACAATCTTCTGCGACGTCAGGTAACAAGCATCTCATATCTGTTTCTGATGTCACACAGATTGAGGGAGGCTGATTTCACAGGCTGGAAAGACCTGTTTGTTACTCGTGTCTTCAGGTTTTTGTAAGATGAAATTGCTTGTGTTAGCTCTCAGTTCTGTTGCGTTTAACTCGAATTTCCTTTGTATTTCAAGAAGCCCTTTTTCTTGGTACTTTTTAGAGGGCTTCAGGCTAGTTGAAATTCCCACACCTTCGTCCAGGGAACTTCCACTCAGATATGGGCTAACAATGGGAACTCCAAGACAGGCAGCAGTTTGCCAGTCCAACAACAAATTTTGGGCCATGTTTTAATGTGGGAGTGTAAAGCTTGTTTACACGTGTTTACACCTATTGACATGGTGTAGTGACATTTTTCAGTGTGAACTTTTTTTCCTCCTTCACATACTACTAATCAGAAAGTCTTTTTCCTAATCAAAAATCAGCTGGGAACCTCAGAACGAAAGCTGGGAGAGAAGATGCCAATGGGGAGCCCAGAGCATTGTGAATGTCTCTGCCTCTTACCCAGACAAAGGCAGTCCCATGCTGTAGGTGTGGAGCAGTCACAACTGGTGGGCTAGCTGATCTCTGGGTTGCATCTGAACAAAGCCAATACAGAGATGTGTACAGCATGAGCGTGGGTAAAGATACCGAGCTACTCCAGTGTGCACGTGCTAGACTGTGAGACAAACACAGACAAACAGCTTGGCTTTCTCTCTGCAAGGTGACTCTGATGATGCAGCTCCCTCAAGCTCCAGTGTCCTTTCTTCTACCCCACCTTCTGTATCTCCTGCTGTGAAAGAAGCCTCCCCCACACCACCTTCCTCGCCGTCTGTCACAGGCAGCTTCTCATCCTCAAGGTAAAGCATGTTTTGTCTCATACACCCCCCCTTGTTTGTGTTATGACATATCCGGGAAGGAGGAAAGCTCCAAAAGGAAAACCTGTAGCTCTGCCTTCTTCCTTCTCAGCAAACATTTGAATATGTCACCTCTGTTGTGCACCTCTCTTGCCTCTGGTCCTTGCTGGCCCCAGGGTAGCTGAGGAAGGTAGAGGGGATCTTACACCTGATAGAAACATTTTTCAAGGACAGGCTTGTTCAATGAGAAGGGGCTGCTTTTGTTTCTGATGGCTTGGTAGAAACCGTGATTTTTGGCAACCTGTTTGGGAAAGTTTGTGTTCTCTGTCTTCTGGAAATTTCCCTTTGAGTCTGAATTCTGCTGGGGAGTTATGTAACCAAATAAAATACTGACCCTAATCCCCAGATACCTGTTCTGTAGCTGGCTTAATCCCTCACAGTTGTTATAAAACGTTTATAAGGACCAAGAAACTGTAAAGTCAGAGTGACTCACTGGAAATAGCAGGCTTTGTCTCTGTGACATGGGATAGTTGTAAGGTGGTAAAATGTAAATGCAGACTGCCTGAGAGCATATCTGAATAGCAAGGAGACAGCATCTGTAGCAATGTGAAGTTTTGCTTTAGTTGAAATGTGTAGACTTAAAGGGAGGAAACCAGCAGAAGATTGCCAGTAAAGAATTACCCTGGTGAGGACTCATTCTGTTGAACCACAAAATGTTGGTGTAGCTATCTTGCTCTTGCTGTGCAGTTCTGGTATCCACCTCCAGAAGCACATGATGAAGTTGCAGTTTCAGAGGAGCACAGGTAACGTGACCAGGGGGACAGAACAGCATATAACATCTTATAAGGACAGGCCAGAAATGCTTGGATCCTGTAGTTTTGGGGAAGAGGAGACAGAGGTAAGGTTCTCATGTTTTTCAGAATTGTAGCAGTGCTGGATTTGCTGAATGCTAAACTGTATTTTGCCATACCTGTTGGTACAAGACCTTGGCACACATAAAATTAACAAGAGGTCGGTTGTAAAGGAGAAAGGAAGAGGTTTCTGCACACTACAGGAAGGTGTGTAGGGACCACATTTGCCTCTGCTACTTTTATAGCAGCAGGATCAGCAGTCCAATGAGGGGTTAGGCAAATCCATGGATAGCAGATCTGTTAATGGATAGCAGAGGATGATGCAGGGATGTCCCTCTGACATCCTTAGCCCTGTGATCCTCACACTGAGGAAGTCAGAGAGCACCCTGCAGTTAGAGACTATTCTCTGTAAACAGCGTCTCCTACTGTCCCTTTCCCACTTATCCCTGAGAGCCCCTTGGGGCCCTTTCAAGCCAATTTTAGGAATCAGAAGCTGAAGTTTCCTTTGAGCAAATGGAACTGGAAATGTGGAAGTCCTGGATTAAGCATGTGCCCAGTGAGTGGAAAGTGTTAGTGGGTTCAGCATGCCCTAGGAGCCCACTTACCAAATCCCTGCTGTTGGCTCCTGGGAGAATCCTCACTGCCCAGAGAGTTCCAGCCACAGCTGCTTGCTGCTGTTGGGACTGTGCAGGCTCTGGAGGGCAGAGCTGACATCTCTTCTGGGAGATTCACATGGGCTTTTCAAACGGGGAAGTGGTTTGGGAACTGTACCCCCAGGAGTGCAGGCTGTTAAGAGGAAGTTTAGGTTCAACATTATTTCGTCTCCACTGATCTGGATGTGACTGCACAGGAGATGGAGGATGATCCAAACTTGGAAGGTTGAGCCACTTATTTAGCCAAGGTCGTGTCTGGGACCAGCTTTACAACTGAGATGAGAAATGTGCTGTGAAAAATCCTTGAAACAATCTCAGTTCTGAAGCTGTACTCAGAAACCAAACTGTGGTTTTGGTGGACCTGGATGAATTTTATTGCTGTCTGGCTTCAGCTGAACAACTGATAAAGGAAATGATTTTCAGAGAAGACTAGTGGTGGTCTATCCTTATTTTACATGAGAGTTTCTGATTACGCAAGTGATGTTGAGGAATGCTTATTTTATTCAAGAGCTTCAATTAATCTCTTTTTAAACAATTACCATTTCTTAAATGAGACCCTGCTAAATATAGTTAGTCAGCAGACTGATAGATCAGTTTTTGTTCAGTACTTGCATGTTAATCAACTCCGTGTAGGAAGAAGTACAGGGGTTGGGTAGTGTGAGGAAGGGGCAGACAGAGAGGGTGGTGGAATTTCCCAGGTTGCTCATCTTCCCTTTTCAGGCTTTAGAAAGGCTGACAGTGTGTTTTGGTGGCACATCTGCTGCCACATGATGCGCGGGAGTTTTCAATAGCACATCATGTCCTGAAATCTGCCATTGTTTAGCAAACATCACAGGGCTTGTGAAGCATTTACCCAGCACAGGAATTTCCCAGCCAGCAGCAGGGCTATGGAGCGGATTGCTCTGTGCCCTAACAGGGACCTGGAAAGGGCAGGAGTGCTGTGTGACCAGGTGGAGCATTTGAACAAGAAGGAAGGAAGCTGGTGACAGAAAGAGATCAGGGACATAGGTGTTGGAAGTAATTCAGACAGAGATGGTTTTGGCAATGCTGTGTCTGGCCAGGCCGTTCGCTCATCAGTGCTTGGGAGACAGTAGCCAGTAAGTGCTTACAGCTTCTCATCTTTTCTTGAAGACTGGAAGCCACCCTGGGCCGCCTCAGGGGTCAGGTTTGCTAGCTGGGTCACTGCACTCCATGTTGGGAAGTGGTTTGTCTGATCCCTTCCCCACTGCTTAACTCCATGCCTGTGTAGAAGGTCAGCTAATTCCAGCTTGTTGCAGTGCTGAGCTGCTGCCACCCTGTAATGTGACCTGGGCTGCATCACTCATTGATGACTTCTGCTGTGTTTGTGACTCATGGATCTCACCAAGAAATGTTGCTGCCTGATTTCACGAAGAGCCAAGCATTTCTCCCCGGCTCTGTTTTTCAGTGGCTGCTGCTCTTGACCAGACAGTGAGAGAACTCTGCTGAGCATCGTGCGGAAATGAGCTGCTTCTCTTGTTTTCTAGCCAGGGCCTTGGTGCTGAGCTGATGGGCCTGCAGGTGGATTACTGGATTGCAGCTCCACCCATGGACAGAAAGAGAGACCCGGAGAAGAAGGACCCTTCCACTACCAAAAACACACTGAAATGCACTTTCCGGTCCCTCCAGGTCAGCAGGTTACCTGCCAGCGGGGAGATCGCCACCACTCCAACCATGTCCATGACTGTCGTGACAAAGGAGAAGAACAAGAAAGGTAAGGTAAACGTGCTGACTGTTGCCAAAGGCCAAGAATGCAGTGCTGCTCTCCTTGTTCTGCAGCCTTGGGGCTGATTTGTCAGTCCTGTGTTACAGTCAGTCCCCAGATCCTAGTCTGTCTGTGGGTAAGAAGTGGCTTAATGAGGTGCTAGTTTGAAAGGATGGTGGTTCTTTGTGCTGTAAGGAGTTGTGTCCATGCTCACGGCTAAGATGGCAGAGCTTAAAAGAACAACAGTGGGGACAGAGAAAGGTCTGTTGTGGGTGACTGTGTTAGAAGGCCTGGAGGTTCACAGGGACAGTGTCCACAGCAGTGTTCCTTGTTGCTTGTGTGGGATGCTGGGTGAGATAGGAGGGAGCTCATGCCCCTGACCACCAGGCTGAGATGCTTGGACCTGAAGTCTTTGTGTGCGTAGATGGCAGTGCAGAGTGCTGGCATGGTCCTGCTGAACGGTCCTGCCAAACTCCTACCAAACAACTAAGAAATGAATTCAGTTGTTACTTTGAGACATGAATGTTTAAATAATAATAAAAAAAAAAAAGCAACACAACATCACTAGTGAGTCTTGGTGCATCTCTTGTGAGCAGCAGAGATTCACTTTCTTTGCTCGTTTTGATTTTCTTCCAGTGATGTTTTTACCCAAGAAAACAAAAGACAAGGAAGTTGAGTCAAAGAGCCAGTGCATTGAAGGAATCAGCAGGTTGATTTGCACAGCGAAGCATCAGCAGAACATGCTGCGGGGTATGTACAGCTTGCATCTCCTTGGCTCTGGGGTGAGCCTCAGCTGCCAGCTGTTTTCCTGCAGGCAAAGAGCTGCCCTCGTAGCTGCCCTGTGCCCTGGAGCTGGTGTAATGGGGTGTTCCTGGGGAAGGGCTCACATCTGCAGGCAAACTTAGCAGTGTCTGTCAGGGGAGCTGTGTCTCCAATTTCAAAAATATCCTCGTTGCCTGTTCAGTTAATAATTCCCAGTACTGTTAACAGAAATTTTCTCAGGTCACCCTCCTTCATTCTGGCCCAGTCCATGTGAGGCTGCCGAGTGAGGGGTGGTTGCAGAACAACATCACTTCTGCAGGAAAGGCAGAGACCCCCTGGTGAGAAGTGTGATGTGTCTGTCTCCGTAAGAGCATGTTTGCTCAAAAAAGAAAGCGGAGAGCGTTTGGGAAACTGGAGGGATCAGATCAGGTGAAGCTGAAATCAGCAGTCTGGGAAGCTCCAGTGCTGCTGGAGCAGCAGTCTGAGCCGCTCTTCCTGTCACTGGTCTGTGCTTCAGCCACGTGTAGCAACAGTGGTGGGTTGGCCCAGCAGTGCAGCTCACACCCTGAGCACAAAATGTAGCCAGGCCTCCCTCTGCTGACTGCAAGGAGCTTTCTAGCAAAGCTGTTTCTGGCTGACCGCTTACCCTTGCTGTTTTCTAACTTACCTGTTTTATTTTTAACCTTCCCCTGTAGTCCTGATTGACGGAGTGGAGTGGAACGACGTCAAGTTCTTTCAACTGGCAGCACAGTGGTCCTCTCATGTCAAGCACTTTCCCATCTGCATATTTGGGCACTCCAAATCTAACTTCTAGCCACGCTCGGAGGGACCTCTGTCCATCCCAGGGACTGCACACCAGGAGCCAGGAACTGCGTGCCAACTCGACTCGCATCACTCTGCCCTCTCCTGCAGAATTAATTACAGATGTGCTTGGATTACTTTTGAATTACTTTTTTTCTATTAACTCTTAAGTTTACTACAAGGGAAGGAAACCCCTTTAAACAAAGGCAAAAAACAACAACAACAACAGTCTTAAATATAGATGTGCTGTCAACAAAGCTGTGGGGGAGTTGGCAGGAGCGGGCAACCTGCCCAAACACCTCCCACTTCGGAGCAGATAGCTGAATAACTGCACTGCTTATTAACCTGAGACCTCATTGGTGTGTGTGGGCTGGGGGGGCCGTGCATTTTGCAGAAGATCCTGCATGTTACGATGCGTTTTGACCCCTCCCTCCATATTTCTAGGAAAACCAATGGCCAGTCTTTCTTCCTGCTGCCAAAGGATGAGAGATCAGCGAGTCTGCAGGGCGTCCAGCTGTCCGGTTTGAAAACTGAACCGGTGGTTTGCAGAGCTAGAGAGGGGCAGAGAGGAACTCGCCCTGCATTACGTGGGGTCCGCCCTGGGGCTGGGCAGGTGTCTGTGCTCAGTGCTGCCTGAGGAAGGCTGGGCAGGAGCAGGAACTGGGGAAACACAAGGTGTAAGGAACCTCTGCTGCCCCCTGGTCTGTGACAGTGACCAAACCGAGCCAGTCGCCTGCAGTGCTGCTGAGGGACACCACAGTCAGTGGGGTCGCTGCTATTTACATACTCACACCGATTATTTACTTGTCAATAAAACCTCGTCCAGCCTCCAAGGGGAAAAGATTTTTTTTTTTAATAGCCGCAAATTTTTTTTAATGCTTTCTTAAAAAATAAAAAAGACAAATAATTAAAAAAAAAAAAAAAAAAAAAAAGAGGAGAAAAAAAAAAAAAACAAGTTGCCAAAAAGAAAAAATAGAACTACCAAACCCAGGAAGATGAGCTGTTGCCTGTGAAGTGATCCACCGCTGTAGTGGCTGGAGCTGCAGCCAGCCAGGTGCTCTGCAAGGCCAGCTGCCTGCCCATCCATCTGTCACACTGCACATGTGAGATAGTGTGTCTGGGCTGCTTCATCTGCTCTGCCTTTGTCCTGCCTGGACTGCGCTGTCTGCACCTGGGTGTGCTGCTGTTGTGCTCAGCTGAGCCACCCAGCACCTCTCCTTGTAGGGACTGCGAGGATGTAACAGAGCTGCTGGAGGCAGGTGCCCACCTGCAGACTGTAGGAAGTTGTCCTCGCTGTCTGCTTTGGGAGTATTGTCTGCTCAGGCAGGCATTCATTTCTCTATGGGGTGCATCCTGTCCTCGGCAGGGCATTGCTGCAGGCTGAGCTTTGCTGTGTGATGTGGTCCTGTGCTGCAGTGGAGAACTACAGGTGGAACGGGGCAGTGGATGAAGCTGGATGGGTTCTTCATCTTTGTTGGGCAGCCCTGTGCCTGGGCTCTATTTGGCCTGGCTTTTGATTGTTTGGCACACCTTGGCATTTTCAGAATGTGTTGTTGGAGGACAAGGGATGCTTTTGAGTGTTTCCCAGCTTTAGCTGCTCAGTAGTTATATTTTTCTCTGAAAGGTTTGGAGAATCTGTGTTGCCCTGCTGGGATGGGTCCTGCTCTGCCCTGCTGGTGGGCTGATGGGGAGCAAGGTGAGAGCGTGGTCCCTGCTGCAGCTCGGGGCTGGGCTGCTCTGCTGGCTTTGATTTAATGAAATCCTCCCCGTGACCAGATGGGAGGAGGATGCTGTGCAGGCTGTGTGCATGCTCCTGCTGCCCCTTCCCACAGCACTGCCTCCCAGCTGCCAGCACACAGCTGGGGCAGGGCTCAGCTCACATTGCTGTCCATCTACTCCTGTGGTTTTGGTTGACCTGAGCTGATGCTGTAGGACTGCGTAGCGTTGCCTAGCAGCAGCAGCGTGGGAGATGGTGTATAAGCACATCCTTTTTTTTTTCTTCTTTTAAATTGTATTGAGGCTGTTGAATCGAAAAACCCCTTTGAAAGGAAATTAGTGTGAGATTTCTTCCTTGAGTCTCCCACTGCTGTGGCAGGAGCTGAGCATTGGGCTCCATCTCTGGGCACCACACGCAGCCCGGCAGCTCTGTGGCAGGCATGGGATGGGCAGCCCTGCTGCAATGACTGAACGCTGTGCTCCTCTGCGTGTGTTTCAACCTACTGTAAAGAAACGGGCAGTAGCTGGTGCAGGATTGCTGGGTCCTGCCTGTCACGTGTACATTGCCCTGCTCTACTGTGTGTGTGTGTGTGTACGTGAGAAAGAAGCACTCGCGCTCGTTGCATTTCATGTTAGTTTGTGTTTTGGTGTAACTCTGTACACCTGAATTCACCGGGTAACACCGGAGGGAGGTGGTAACCCTGCTGGGAGAAGGGCTTCCACCTTGCTTGGAGGTGAGGGCTCGTTGTGGCACTGACCTGGTTTTACAGCACTGGTGAGCAGATGAGAGATGGAAGGTTTTGTGGCATTGTGTTGCACCGTGTGCTTGCTGGTCCTTTGGTTTGGGTTCTGTGGCTCGTCCCCAGCCCTGGGGATGGTCACCTGCTGCCTGTCCTGCTGCACACATGGGGGCTTGGGTGGCTTTTCAGCTCCACTCTGCAGCTGCCATCCACTGAAATTCTCACCACTTCCATCTCAGCAGTAGCTGCAGAGTCCTTAATTACCCATGAGCTTGGGGACAGCCACTGTCTCCTCAGCTGGGCTTGGCTGTGTTACTGGTGTGTGTTTGTGACTTAATAAGGCACAGGTGGACGTTTGCTGGGGCTGTAGGAGATTTGCTGTCAGCGTGTGGTCATCCTTTGGCCAACACCCACTGGCCTGAGCTTTACCTGGCACTGCAGCAAAGGCCCTGTGAGTTTCCTCAGCGGCAGTGGGAAGCAGCTCATGCAGGAAGGCTCCTCCCGGTCCTAGGCACGGAGGGGGCAGTGCAGAGCCAGGACCTGGGGCATTGCATATTGTGGCTCAAAGCTTGAAAGGAAGATCCTGTTGAGAGGGGCCAAGCTGATGGGTGCTGCTGGGTTTGCGGGGATGGGGGTCCTGGAGCAACGTTGGGTGTGATGCCTCCATCCCCAGTCAGCAGGTCCTTGGTTTCCATAGGGAAGAGCACTGCTCTGCAGCACAGCAGTCACCTGCTCAGCATTGCAGGGCATTGCCTGCCCAGCTGCGTGCCATGGTGATAGGGAAGCACTGTGGATACTGTGTGCTGTGCTGTCAGCCCTGCCTGGGCCGCCGCACAAGATGGGACGTTACCACTTTGTAGATTCCTGAGTTGTCCATCTGTTTCATTGTTGTATTATTTGGGTTCTCAAGTTGTTTCTTTTTTTTTTTTTTTTTAATGAAGACAGATTAAATGTAAATAGCTTTTTTTTCTTTTTTTTTTCTTTTTTTTTTTCTTTTATTTTTTTTTTGAACAAACCGCAACGTGCTCGACCTCGTCAACTATTTTATGGTACTAATGCAACACTAATAAAACTGGACATGAAAGCACACATCCGCCCCTGGAGTCATCTGTCAGCAGGGGCTGTTCGGCACAGGCGGGGCGGTCATCTCCTGCAGGAAGAGCCGCTGGGTGCCACAGCCAGCACAGGGGGGGATTCGGGGCTGGGAGGCGCTGAGCCGCCCGGTGGCTGCGGGCTGGGAGTGGTGGAAACCGGGCTTGGCAAGAGTGCAGGGGAGAGCGGAGGTGGGAGGAGGACCGCTCACGTGCCTTCCAGGAACCCGGCCGTGAGCAGGCTGGGGATGCCCGGCTCCCACGGGGCCTCAACTACGGGAAACGGGGCTGCGCTGACAGCCCAGCACGACTTTTTCCTGCGCTCTCTATCCAGCGGTCCCCGATCCTTCTTCACGCTGCCTTCTGCAGCGCCCGCTCCTCGTCCAGAGGGACGAGGCTCAGCCCCGTGCCGCGTAACCCCGGAGCCGGAGCCGGAGCCGCGCTCTCACGTCTGAGCGGCGTGAGACGGGGCACCGCGCAATCCGCCGAGGTTCTGCCGCTTAAAAACCCAATTCGGCACCCGGGAAGATCAGCCCACAGCACGCGAGCGGCTGCGGTGCGGTTTGTAGATGTTCATCCCGGCCGATCTAGCCTCGTCCTCCCGCAAGCTCTGAGCGTCGCCCCGCGCACGGACACGCGGAGCTGGCCGTGAAGCGCGGCGCACCGCCCGTCCCCGCTCGGCTCCCCCAGGCCGGGCGCGGCGCTCTCCGCCCCACGCAGCGCTCCGGGACGGCCTCCTCCTTCCGTCCGTCCCTCCCTCCCCCTTCACTCCCTCCTTCCTTCCTTCCCTCCCTCCCGCCGCTCCCGTCCCGCCGCCGCCCCGCCTTCCGCCCGCCGCCCTCCCGCCTTCCTTCAGCGGCCGGGCGGCAGCCGGCGCGGCCCCTTTAATTCCCCCGCTCCCCTCCCCCGCCCGGCCGTTTCAGCCTCCATTTTCCAGCGGATCCGGCACCTGGAGGAGGAGGAGAAGAAGGAGGAGGCGGCGGGAGCGGCCCGCGCCCCGCACCCGGCCCCGTCCCGGGCATGGCCGCCAACATGTACCGGGTGGGAGGTAGGCGGGCAGGCGGGCGGGCGCTCCCACGGCCCGGCCGCGTGCGGGCGGCGTTGCGGGGCCGGCGGGGCGAGGCGAGGCCCGGGGCGGGGCGGCGGGGTTAGGCCGCGAGCGGGGGCGGCGCGGGGGGGGGGGGGACGGCGCGGGAGGCCGGGACCGGAGGGGGGGCGGCGGGGATGGGGGAAGGGGAGGGGGGGGGAAGTCGGGCGTGAGGACGGCGGCGGGGTGAAGCGGGGTGAAGGGGCGGCGCGGGGAGGCCGCGGGGCCGCGGGGGGCGGCCCTGGGTGGAGCGGGCGGAGGTGGGGGCCCGGCTGGGAAGGGCCGCGCGGGGACGGGGCCGTGAGGGTCTGCCGGGCCGCAGGTCGGGCTGCTC